TTCCCGTAACCGCTCCAACAATTCGGAGAGGAGCGGTAAAGGATAGCTATTTCTCACAGTGATAGCATTTAAGCGTCTATAGTCACAACAAAGACGAAGTTCTCCCGACTTCTTCTTGACAAAGAGAACGGGTGCTGAAAGAGGGGATGACGAAGGTCGAATAAATCCCCGAGCTAGATTTTTATTCAAAAATTCTCGAAGTGCAACTAGTTCAGGCTCAGACAAAGAATACAACCTCCCCTTTGGTAATGGAGCGTCCAGTATCAAATCCACGGGACAGTCGTAAACACGATGTGGTGGTAATTGATCTGCCTCCTGTTCACTGAAAACATCGGGGAAATCCGACAGCTCTGAAGGAATCGAGGCAGCAGAAGCGACAATATGTTGGCCTGCGCAGACATGTCTCAGGTGGTCCACACATTGCAGGCTTGGAAAAGAAACAGCGTTCTGCGCCCAAGCCACCAACGGATCGTGTAGACGCAGCCAGGATACTCCGAGCACCAAAGGAAGATGGAGGTTCGAAGTGATATAAAAACTTATCGCCTCCTCATGATCCCCAATACGCATACGCAGTGGTTGGGTGGCAAAGCGAATAGGTCCCGACTTGAGTTCGCGCCCATCTACGGTTTCCACCTGCATGGGGGGATTCACAGGTACTAAAGGAACTTTGAAATGTTTTACAAAATCATAATCCATAAAGCTAGTCGTAGCCCCTGAATCCACCAGTGCCACGGCAGGGATTCCCTCCTTCCGAGATTGCAAGAATATGCGAGTGTCCAAAAGTAAATGTCGAGGAGGGCCAGAATTAACTTCAGCAATTTGAGATGAAAGTGAATATTGTGCCCGACCTAGGGTTTCCCTGAGGTCGGGCCTACCCCGTTTCCCGACGGACCAGCAATGGGTTTTGATACAGGTCCACGAGTCCCCTTCCGAGTGCAGGAATTAGCAAAATGTCCCGAACCCCCGCAATAAAGGCACAAACCTTCCTGAAATCTTCTCGATCGTTCCTGAACTGTTAAACGAGGGCGGAGTGCGCCTATCTCCATCGGCTCCTCTGCTGGAATTCTGGATTGGAAAACCCTCATAGACGGGGTGCGTGAACGAGGAAACACAGGTGGCTCTGCAATGGTCCGTTTACACCCACGATGTTGTAGGCGAGCTTCAATACGTAAGCATTGAGTAATCAATGTGTCCAAAGTTGAAGCACGCTCTGCATGAATTAGTTCATCCTTGATAATGTCGGACAAACCCTCTTGGAATGCTGCCATGTGAGCTGGTTCATTCCAGGTGGAGTCCATACACAACAAGCGAAATTCTGCAACGTATTCTTGCAATGAGTGTTTACCTTGAATAATATCCCTCAATTTTCTGTCCACAATTTGAGATTTAATTGGATTCTCAAACATAACGTTCATCTGTTGAATAAACCCCTGGAAATCGTCCAGTAATGGACTATCTTGTACTAATAAGGGAGTAGCCCATTTGGCAGCCTGCCCGGTTAACAAACTAATAATAAAGCCAATTTTAACTCGATCGGTTGGAAAATCCTCCGGCCTCACAGAAAAATACAATTGGCACTGACCCAAAAATGTTGAAAACATGTCCGTTTGCCCAGAAAATTTATCTGGCATAGCTATCGGAATTTTTCTCACAGGGGGTGCAGGGGGAACTCCAGCTGCAGCTGAAACAGTTTGAGAATTGGCAACGAACGATAATAATTGTGTTACCTGATTTTGAAGGGATACGTTGCTCTGAAGTAATTGATTTATTTGCATCTGTTGCTGCTCCACCAATTGTTGCATTTGAGTTGAATCCATCGTTGCAAAGATGGTCTGTTTGGTCCGGAACAAAAATGTTATGTCCCACCTTCTAAAATAAACAGTTAAGGCTGAAAGCAGCAGTCCTTGTAAAGAAAGGCAGCAAACAGGAAAATGTTATGTCCCACCTTTTAAAGTAAACAGATAAGGCTGAAAGCAACAGTCCTTGTAACGAAAGGCAGCAAACAGGAATTTTCACAGATAGCTCCAATAAGTAAAAGTTCCAACGAACTAAATCCAAGACTCAACAAGATTCTTCAGATCAAAATCCTTCACAAAATAATTCCAATAAGTAGAAGTTCCAACGAATTAAATCCAAATCCCAACAAGATATTTCAGATCAAAATCCTCCAAACTGTGCTCTTCAGTTCTCCTTGCAAATAGACACTTTGTTCCGGACAAAGTGCAAAGTCATATCTCTCCCTTTATAGAGTAACTAATTAGTCTAATTGCTGGTCTGCTCTCCTACTGTATCCTCGTTGGTTCCTCCTTGTCAGGAGACGTCTTGTCCTGACATCTACCCAGCAATCATCCAAATTATCATCTTCTTCACCTGAAGATATCATTGGTTCCTCATTATCACCCGTTCCCGGCTGACCACCTAATTGAAGGGTGGAGGAGTTTGAAGGTTCAAGCCGATCTTGCAAATCAAATGCATTCATCTCCTCCTCATCGTTAGAACTTGCTGATTCATATAAGTCCTCCTCACTGGAGCTGTCATTCAAAAAACCTGTAGCAGATGCCGGAATCACAACAATTTTGGGGAAAAGAGGGAGCATTAATATTTCTGTGTGTGTCTGGAGCAGGAGCATCCACTGGAGTTGCATTCTCTGGAAAGATTAAAACAATCAAGGGGGCAGTCATAACTATGAGAGCAAAGCCTAAGCTGCCATTTTGATTCTTTTAGCAATGTTCTTACTACATTTCCCCCCATACTTCCTGATTTGGAAAACAAGACCCTTTATTTAAAAGGTTTTCTCATGAGATCTTTTTTTAATCTTTAGTTGATATGGGAAACCAGAGAAGTAATAGACTATGAAGGAAAGATTATATAGTGAAAATAGAATATTTTTACTGTATGGCTTTCGTAATCCTTTTGTTAATTAAGAAAAGAATAAACATCCTGCCCCATCATGAAAATTTTATCAATACATCTTTTTATGGGGATTAAACACATGATTGGACTGTATTTTTTAAAATACACAAATATATAAAGAATTGTTTCTCTTTTATTTGGAGGGTAAGGGGAATGACATGCCAACAGAGTCAAGTGAGACATTTTCTGAATTTTTGACACACCAAGCTCAAAGATTCATGATCAATAGCTTAATATGACAACTTGGGAAGTAGCAAGAAGATACCTTCTATACTTAGACTTCGTACTACCAAGATTTCCAAATTAAATAAACATATTTTTTTAAAAAACCTAAATTCTCTGAGATCATCCAAATGAGTGGTAAAGCTAAAATGATACAAAATATGTTTATCCCCTAAGGATTGGGCCTTCTTAAAAAAAACTTATTTAACATTATTAATTTATTCTTTATATTTATTTTCATTTTGATTCCCTCCAAAATGCTTGTGGAGCACCAGTCGTCCCTGGACACTGGTTGGGAACCCATCCTCTAGGTTTTTCTATCTTCTTTTCATGATACACAGCTGCCCACATCCGTGGGAAGGGAATCACAAAAAGGCTTGATAGTGTTCACAGTTGCACCATTGAAATCCTGTCCTTTTTCTAACTTGTTAGAAAATGAGCCACAGTGGCACAGTGGTCAGAGTGCAGTACTACAGACTATTTCTGCTGACTGCCGGCTGCCTGCAATTTGGCAGTTCAAATCTCACCAGGCTCAAGGTTGACTCAGCCTTCCATCTTTCTGAGGTTGGTAAAATGAAGACCCAGATTGTTGGGGTCAACATGCTAACTCTGCAAACAACTTAAGAGAGGGCTGCAAAGCACTGTGAAGCGGTATATAAGTTTAAGTGCTACTCCTAGTGCTATTGTTGACACTGTACATGTACAATGGGGTAAGGTTTCAGTGGCACTGCTGCAACCTCCAACTTTTCTTTTGAAACTTTCCCTGAAGATACTAATACAATACATTGGTGAGAAGAGGCAGAGGCAGAAGGAGATCCTTCTGTCCCAAAGTTGTTCTTTTGGCTCAGGAATTTATATATTTTTTCTTTGATGCTTTTCTGGCCTTTTAATGATCAAAATGGAAAAGTAGATTATTACTTCCCAGATCAAGGGGAAATCTGTAATACTTGTTTTTTATTTCTTTCATTCTCATTGCCAGCTATTCCTCCTCCTCATCTTTAGCTCCTTTCTTATAAATGATGGTTGCTCTCAAGCTTTATTTACCCACTGATTCTGATTTTCCCTGGCCTGTTCATTTCCAATCAGAAATAGGCGAATATTTCAGAGGTGTAAGCAACTGATGCCTTCCAGATGTTGTCAGATACAACTTCTGTCAATTTCAGCCTATATGTCCAATGGTATTGCCTACCCATGGAGTAAGAAATCCCCATATGGCACCATCCAACTAAGTGCTGCAATTAGATATTGCTCAATAATATGCTTTCTACTACATATAAGGTGCAGGCCAAGTTTCAACATGAGATGAACCCCTTCTCAGTCATATTAAATTATGGTCAAGGGATTGGTTTTTACCCATCTTGATATTACTATATTATATTACTCTATTACTATAGTTTCTGTAGATGAGGAGATTCCATTTTAAGGCATTTCTGCTAACACACATTTAAAAGAGGAAAGAAGGAAGGGAGGGAAGGGAAGGGAAGGAAGGAAATATGATAAATAGTTGAAGAAAGGAGGATTTAATTACTTAATGCAAAGGACGGAAATGCATACACTGAAACAGCTAATGCTTTGTCAAACTGTTCATTCCCTGTTGAAGAAAAGGGGGTCTTGTTCTCTTTAGCATGCTTGAAAGAAAATAGTTCCAGTCTATTTATTCCTAATTATCTCCACTCGGTTTCATCCTTGCTAACTTTACCTGGGGCTAATATATGAGCAGGAAGAATTATAAGGAAAGGGAGAGGGAGAACAGATTTGCAAAAAAGTTGAAACAGCCTGGAGACACATTTCATTCTGAAATCTAGATGATTAGGAAAGCTCTATGTAATGAAATACTTGCATTCTTACTCTATTAATTCACGTACCTGAATGATAATCTGGTGCCCGTATTTCACAATTATCACCATAAGTCCCAGCCTGGCACACACACAAGCACTCTGTTCCAGACAGCACTACCTTGCCATTGTTGGGGCATGGAGCACATTGGCATGGGTCAAACTGCACTGCATACTCAGAAAGAGCTCTTCTGAGATTGCTACGCTTAGTTGCTGCACAGGGAATGTTCTTCACCAGCTCCAGAATGGAAGTCAGCTAATAAACAGAAGAGGTGGACATCAACAGAGCCATGAATATTCCACTCTACCACAATTTTACTCTGCAAGCATCTGTTAACAGGCAAAATCTGAACAATTTAAAGGGATTTGTAAGAAGGGAAGGGACTCTTGCACGATGATATCATACTCCAATTCTGCAACATATACTTGGGTTAGACCTCATCGTGGAAATACCTAAATGAGGCCATGACATCATCACCCAAGAGTCGTTTCTGCAGATTTCTGCTATAGAAATCACTACACTTCTTCCTTATTTTTACAAGAACTTGGTTCTAATGATTGTGAAAAGTCAGTGCTGTTGATTTGCCTTGTGGTTCAAAACAATGGTCCACCATTGTTTTTTCTCACCAACAATTTTTGAAGCTGGTGCCCTTCAGATATTTTATAGATTGCTTAGCAATTGTTCGATGTTACAATAGACTCCTCTGAAGGAACTTACAACCTAGTTTTAAAGTTCCACTTATTAGATATTCAAATTTTAAAAATGTCAGAAATAACTTTCTAGTTCAATATCTAATACTAACATTTCCTACCCAAATATTGAATGTCCAGCTTTCTGTTTCATTGAGATTATATCATATCATAGAAGTTAGCAAGCTTAAATTCTGGGCATTCTTCACCTTGGAATAATCTGATTATAACCGAATCTTCAAAACGGACTTCTAGCCTGGTTTTGACGTTCTGATATCACCCCCCACCAATGGTCATGTGACTATATTTTGAGCCCTTAGCAACAAGCCTGCCATTTGCAATGCTCTGTGGTCACATGACCACAATTTAAAATCAGTTTTGTCAAAAACCAGTATTTACTTTGGATTTCCAGGAAAAAAACAGCCCATAGCAAACAATGGCTTTCCTTAACAACTGTACTATTCACTTAACAACCATGGTGTTTGCTTAATAACCACATTATTGACTGCCCACAAAGAAGGGGTCATAAAATCGGGATGATCACATGGTTATCAATTTTACAATCATCACGACTTACAACTAAAAATGCCAATCTCAGTTATTTATTTATTTAGTTTATATTGCCGCCTATTTGCCCATGGCAATAAATTTGTAAAGTACAATAGAACAAAATTTGGGAAAACAAAACAAAAGCAACTCCCACCCCCCACCCCGACAACAGCAGATCACACTAGCCATTTGATGGGCTCTGTCCCACTCTGTGTTCCCCAGGCCCATTGGCAAAATCAAGTCTTCAGTGCCTTTCGGAAGAGTGCTAGAGTGGGGGCCATTCTAATGTCTGGAGGAATGATATTCTAGAGAGAGGGAGCCACCATGGAGAAGGCCCTCCTTCTGGGTCCCACCAGGTGTATCTCCCTCAGGGGTGGGACCCGCAACATTCCCTGCCTCTTCACTCTAATGGGTCAGGTAGATGTTATAGTTGTAACTCGAGAACTACCTTGGATAGCAGAACAAATAATTATTGATAATAGAAACTGTGTTCGGAAACTTTTTTAAAGCATCAGGTTGAAGAAGACTGCCCTATGGTCTTAACTGCTTGAATGCTTCATTCATCCAGCCAATGAATATTATTATGGTATTTGGTCAGGGAGCCGTAACAAAACAAAATTGTATTTTCTATGTGCTTTATTACAAAGTTCAATGTTAGCAAATCTCAGAGATTCTTTAATCTAATTTCTGCATTTCTTCCCTTTCATTTTAATCAATCCTATGCTGTTGTTGCCCTTTCCTTACTCTGGATTTGCAATTCTAGCCATAAGAGATTGTTTAACTTCCTTTATACTTAATATCAAAATGAGTCTCAGAGTCTGATGCTTTCTAGACCAGTATTTCTCAACCAAGGCAACTTGAAGATGTGTGTGGACTTCAACTCCTAGAATTGCCCAGTCTTCTTCTAGCCTGGACTTTGAAACATAATCCAGTTGATGGTGAAGACAGATAACTGGCATTCCTTTTGCCAAAGCCAAATATTTTGTTGACCATTTGGTAAAAGGAAACAACCATATTTGACTATAATTGACATATGCCACAGCTGAGTATGATGGGTGGACATTCTGAGAGTTTCAGTTCAACATGTCTATAACAAGTGTCAGATTGTTGCCAGCTGGGATAAGCCACAAATCAGCTTTGCACAATTGGCCTTTGTGCATGAAATAGAAGTGCCAGTGTCTGAAAACAAGTCTGCTACTACTTGAAATGAAAGAAAAATTAGAGATGAACTATTTGTTTAAGCCACAAATTCCATTTTTATTTTTTATTTTAAAAAACCCTACCATCCTACAGATAATCAGAAATGCATAAGATGTAGTACTTGGCATACCCTCCAATAGTATTATGTCCAGCAGGCACATAGATTACAAGATACATTACTTCCAAACATATTATGGCTCTATTAGATATTCAAATTAAAAGATTTGTCAGAAATAACTTCCTGGTTCAATGTCTAATGCTAACATTTCCTACCAATAGATTTGCATGTCCTGCTTTCTGAGGTTATATCGTATCACAGAATTTGGCAAGCTGTTTAAGTTCTGGGCATTCCCCACCTTGTAATCACTGCAATGTTGGCTAATTATTTAACCTCATGAGATCAGGGTTGCCTTGATTTCTAAAGCATGGTATTGGTGTCTTTTTTTAAATGGTGAATGAACTTAATGGGGAGGGGAACAATAAATTCCCTAGCTGTTGATCCACATCATATCAGAAAAACACATAGCAATCAAAGATTGTAATACAATGAATGTGTTTCTCTTTGTTTCCCCAACAGCAATTGCAGTCAAAGTACTTTAATTCTATATATACTGACAATGGGAAAGGCTAAAAGCTTTAAATGTCTCATCGGTTCTGTTTTGTAAAATTGTATGGAAAATTAATGCCTGAAATTCCTTGTTCTCCTATTTACTTTCTATCAATTTCCTCTTTTCTATTATGTCTATTAAAGAGCAGGCCAGGGAACTGAATTCCCCTCCCCCCCAGACTTTTTAAAGTAACTGGAAATCTATAGCCATTTCCCCCCCTGAAGATAAAAAGTAACTTTTTATCTTCAGAGGTAGTAGCAAACCACTATGATCAAACCACTATGACAAAAGTGTCAAGGAATATGAGGAAAAACCACAGCTGCTGGAAATGCAGAAATGTGTAGGAGAAAAAATGTGAGGTCTCCAAAACACCCCAATTAATGTTGAACGTGTTCAAGAACTATATAATGCTCCTTGGCTGTTTTGGTAGGGGGAAAAAATGATTGGACGGGGAAATGTAATGGGAAATCTTCAACAGCAAAACTTACCAGGCTATTCATTGCAGGTAGTCCTGAATTACAATTGGTCTCTTAGCACCCATTTGAAATTACAATCAACCCGAAAAATGGGAGTTATGATCCAGTTCTGAGGTTCCAACAGTCGTGCCTTTCCACAATCACATGACTGAACTTTGGGCACTCGGAAACACTGTAGAATTTAGGGCCATTTGCAATGTCATAGAGTGACATGACTGTGTTTTATAACAAATTTGCCAAAAATCAGTACTTCCAGTTTTTGGCAAAATTGTGCCCATTGTGAACCATTGGTTAGTTTAATAACAGTGGTGTTCATTTAATGACTGCTGCAAAAAAGGAGGTTTATTTTCAGACACTGGCAATCCTGCATAAAGGCTAATGATACAAAGCTCTTTTGTAGCTGATCCTTTTATTACTATCAAGACATATAGTCATAATGGGCAGACTCCATTCTGGTCATATGTCAATAGTAATAATAATTGCACTTAGAATTACCGTGTTTCTCCAACAATATGGCCTCCACCAATAGGAAGGCCCAGCATGTTTTAACGGCATAAAATCAAATTAAGCCCCACCCCCCAAATTAAGGCCTATATTAAACATGAGAAATGGGGGGGGGATGGCGGGGGGCTTGCCGTTAGGAAGTAGTTTTGTTGCATACGCGGATATGGTGCTGCCTGCGTTGACTTTGGCGTTGGTAGGGCACTTCGTATCAGGAGACCTTCCTCCACTGTTGCTTTCCCTTCTCCCTTGCTGCCGCAGCATTTAGAGCAACGCCGCGGCGTTTGGCGCAGCCTCATGCAGCCAACCAGGGCTCCTCCCTGCAACCGGAGCCCAGCGGAGACACTCAGCTTCAGGCGCTCCTGTCGCCGCCTTCAAAGGCAAAGCCAATTCTTTTAAAAGCCGTTTTTTTGGGGGTCAAACAAAAATAAGGCCCGGCCTTATTTTGTGAGAAACATGGTATATACCGCTTTACAGGGCTTTACAGCCCTCTCTAAGCAGTTTACAGAGTCAGCATATTGCCCCCAATAATCTGGATCCTCATTTTACCACCTCGGAAGGATGGAAAGCTGAGTTAACTTTGAGCCTAGTGAGTTTCAATCTGCCATATTGCAGGCAGCTGGCAGTCAGCAGAAGTAGCCTGCAGTACTGCACTCTAACCACTGAGCCACCACGCCTCATACAAGGACTACCTATACTCAGGGGTGGGATTCTACTGGTTCAGACTGGTTCTATAGAACCAGTTGTTATGATTCTGCACAGTTTGGAGAACCGCCAAATCATTCCCCAGGCTGGCCCCACCCCTCTCCACCTGCCCTCCCCTCCCACCCAATCAGTCCTTATCACATATGTGCAACATTGCACATGTGCCCAACATCACTGACTGCGTTCTCCCCTGCCCAGTCACTCCTTAAGGTATTTCTTTTTTTCCCCTTTCCGATGATCAGCTTGTTCCGGAGATCAGCTGTTCTGGGATCCCCCTTGCTGTCTTACCACTTCGCCCAGGAGGCTTCCCTAAGGCCCGGGAGGCAACCCCCCCCCCCCCCCCCCCCCGCACTCCTTCTTGGGCCCCAGGGAAGCCTTCTGAGAGCAAAAATGCGCCCCCAGGAGGCTTCCCTGAGGCCCATGTGGCAAAAAAAACCAGGGGCGGTTGCTGGAAAAAAGCCACGCCCACCCATCATGTGGCCAGGCCCACATAGCCACACCTACAGAACCAGTTGTTAAAAAATTTGAATCCCACCCATGCCTATATTTTTATGGCAATCTGATTCGTAATATCTCACTTTGTATTCCTGATATTCACAGGCGGATGACAAATGCTTTTCATGTTGCCATTTTTCTTAGAAGATTCAAAGCTTCCATTCAGAAACAAATGGAAGGCCACCCTGAGAGACAGCAGTGGTTATAATGCAGTACTGCAGGCTAACTCACTGCTCACTCCAGGAGTTCGATTCTGACCGGATCAAAGTTGACTTCCATCCTTCCAAGATCAGTCAAATGAGGACCCAGGTTGTTGGGGTCAATATGCTGACTCTGTAAACTGCTCAGAGAGGGCTGTAAAGCCCTGCGAAGCAGTATATAATTCTACATGCTATTGCTATCTAGTTTGGGTAATGAAACATCTGCAAGAAAACAAACCAAGCAAGGACCCCCTCATTTCAACCCTGAGCTACAAATATTCTCCTTTATTGCTACCTCAAAGTCAATCACACTTGGATTGTCCTTCACCGATTCCAGCCAATTGGTAAAGATAGTGTGCTCAGGAAAAGCTCCTTGTCTTTCCCAGGCAAGAGCTGCAGCAAACTGGGATCTTCCACCTTTGATGAAGGATATGGACTTCTCTGAGGATTGCAGAAATGAACCTGGAAGAGAAATTTAACAAGGCATGTGATTGGAGCAGCAACATAAGCAGGTAGCTTCATAGCAACCATCAGAAGTAGAAACAGAAAATACTTTGTCAAAGACACTCTTGGAAATCAGGAAGAGTTAAAGTAAAGCATCTTCACCTAACAATGTCCTTTTTTGTGCACTTTTTGACTGGATTTATCCATTGGTGCACCAAAAAAGGCAGGATGTATTATGCTATCAAGCTTCTTCGACAGCCATACCGACTTTGTAAAACAACAGCTTTGGCATCACTAAGAACTGTTAACAAAGCTATATGCATTCAACACAGTCGTTTGCAGAGTTTAACACATGGCCCGCAAATAAACATCTTTCCCTCCCTTTTCACCACAAGTTTCTAGCCCTCAAGCATTTTGAAAGCATCTGGTAGATTTTCTGAAAACAGAAACAGAGTATTAGAAGCTGAGGAACCAATTTCTATTTTTAGGAAATCTCATATTTTGGACTCTCATAGGAATTCATTAAAATGTACATAATGTTTGCAGATCCTGGAATAGAGCCTTTTCATTTTACATTACTTGCATTTTGCTTCTGTGCTTCCTTTGTTAGATATTTCAGAAACAAATATAGATTTAAAAAAAAGTCAAGATGTGCAATGCACATATAAAACAAGCATATCCTGGATCACCACTGTAGCCACTATCAACATTTTTTTTAAACTCTAACTTTTGAACATCCCTTCCAGTTAGTTGCCCTTTTTGACAAACAAAATATGCATGTTTCTTTTGACTATCTATAGATTTGACTGGCTTATAGGAAGCAAGTCCTCTGTGCTCTGCAAGTAGTCTTTGAATTATAATCATTAGTTTAGTAATTAGTTTAGTAAAAGTTACACCATTACTGAAAAATTATGACTGGTCCTTGCACTTATGACTTTTGCAGCATCTCCATGGTCATGTGATCAAGATTCAGGTGCTTTTTTTAAAAAAAATTGCTGTATAGTGCAGTGTTGGTGTGGTGTCAGGGGTTTCTGGTTCAATGTGTGAAGGGTGAAGGATATGTGTTTGTGTTTATTTTCATGGTCATGATGTGCACTGAAGATGGTGTTTGATTTCGTCGTATGAGGTGCAATGACAATAAAGTAAACTAAACTAAACTTGGCAATTGCCACATATTTACAATGGTTGCAGCATCCTGAGATCACCTGATTGTCATTTGTGACTTTCCCAGTTGGCATCCAACAAGCAAAGTTAATGTGGGGAGCTGGATTTACTTAATGGCTTTGTGATTCAGTTAACAAATGCAGTGATTCACTTAACAATCATAGCAAATAGGGAATAAAATCAGGTATGACTTTAAAAACCACCTAGCAATGGAAATTCTGGTCTCAGTTGTGATTGTAAGTCAAAGATTATCTGTATTTAGGAGCCATGGTGGTGCAGTAGTTAGAATACAGCAGGGGTGTCAAACTCAAGGCCCATGGGCCAGGTCCAGCCCATAGGGTGCCTAGATCTGGTCCATGGGGCCACCCTGGAAATAATAAAGGACCAGCCTGAGGCGCTTCTGCCAGCAAAAACGGAGGTTGTGTGGCCCTCCCAAGCTCCGTTTTCACTGGCAGAGGGTTGCAGGAGGCTGTTGCGGCCGGAAATGGAGCTTGGAATCCTGTTTTTGCTGGCAGAGTGCTCAGGTCACCACAGGCATGAGTGGCATGATTAACATGAGTGATGTCAAGCTGGCCACGCCCCATGGCCATGCCCCCCCCAAGGTCAAACACAACCCTGATGCGCTACTCAATGAAAAAGAGTTTGACACCCCTGAAATACAGTATTGTAGTCTTATTCAGCTCACTGCCAGGAGTTTAATCCTTACCACCTCAAGGTTGACTCAGCCTTCCATCCTTCCAAGGTCAGTAAAATAAAGACTCAAATTGTTGGGGGCAATAGGCTGACTCTGTAAACAGCTTAGAGAGGGCTGTAAAGCACTGTGAAGTGATATATGAATGCTATCGCTCGTGCTAGTTTTAGATCTTTCCCCCTGAAGGATAACAGGAAATTAAAGGAGACACACGAATGTTTGAGTAAATCCTAGTGGTGTTAACATTCTTATAATTTGTCATTGGAAGCTGTTGGACTGAAATTGTAACCCTATGTTCCCAAAGGGTCATGTTTTCCTTGATAATCACCTTCATGGCGAGCAACCATTCTGTTGCTTGTGCAGCTTGTTCTCACTTTCCTCTTTTTAATACCGAAGATACGCCTGGTTGTTTCTGTTCGGATGCACTCTTGTGATGCTGCCTGTGTTAAACCTTAAGAAATGAAAATTATTTCCGGAATATTTTAGCATATAAAAAAAATGAATATTCCTGCTTTCTTCCTCCTCTCCCCACCCCCCTTCATCTAAATTATATGCATTTGACATATAAGGAAGCGAGACTGAAAAATTAAAATGGCCATTCAATTTAGAATAGGAAGAGCTGTAGACCCAAAGGACATATTCTTCTTAATTATATCTGCACATGCAGCTTTTTGTTAATTTGAGGCTGTTTTACTTTTCTGGCTTGGTTGGATATTATTGTTCCAGTTTCCCATTTCTTGTATAAGTCTTCTAAGCAACTTTTAATAGAATTATTATTTTGGGTTTAATTGGTTACTTGTAAATTGCTGTAAAAGATGCAGCACATTCATTTTAATGAATTTTACTCTTACACAGTGTATATTTTTAATGATGAAAAAGTAGGATGCGTTGTTTTATTCTTAAATGTGGTATATCAATAAGAAGCAACTTGTACCATTAGCAGTTCATCTGGATGCAGTGATTATTTTAATATATACTAAGAGACAATAAAATAACCAAGCAATGGAGACATTTCTTTCTGTTTATTTCTGCTCGTCAGTTGGGTTTGGGGTCCTCATGGTCTCTAAGACTGGACCATTTCTCTATCCCAGTAGGATCACTCTGTGAGCAGGGGTGGGCTTCAAAAATTTTAGCAAAGGGTTCTCTGCCCGGTTGCTGGGTGGGCATGGCTATGGTGGGCGTGGCCTAGTCAGCCTCCTGCACCATGGCCGGCGGGGGGGGGGTTGCCCTCCCTGAGCTCTGGAGGCTTTCCTTGAGCTTCCAGGAGGGCGAAAATGGCCTCCTCAGGCTCCGGAGGCTCTCTGGAAGCTGGAAACAAGCCCATTTCCGGCCTTCCCGAAATTCCAGGAGGCCCATTTTTCGCCCTCCTCGAACCTCCACATGCACCCTGCACTTACCTGCATCCAAAACTCCTGTGAGAGGTGGGGCAGGGGTGGGGCGGGGCCAGCCAGGAGTGGGATTTGGGGGTTCTCTGAACTGCACAGAATCTTAGCTAGGCGCTCTCCTGAACCTCTGCGAACCCCCAGCAGCCCACCCGTCTGTGAGGCAGTCATGTAAATCTGCCTTTTCAAATGGTCTTTCTCACAGAGAAAGCTTCCAACAACACAGATGTTATCAATAAAGGAGAATTTTGTAGCTCAGGGTTGAAATGAGGGGTCCTTGGTGCTTTCTGAACTTGGTTGTTTTCTTGCAGATGTTTTATTACCCAACTAGCACTGATGATATTACCTGGTTCGGGTAACAAGCAAACTCAGAGACCACCAAGGACCCCTCACAGATATTATCATTTTACATGCCTTCTATTTTTCCTCCATTCTCCCAGACTGGAAGTGTTTTTCAGACTTTTGGTGGAAATGCATCTTTGACTCCCTTCTCTTTTAATCCTCTCAGAATAACAGAGTTGGAAGGGACCTTAGAGGTCTTCTAGAACAACCCCCTGCTTACTAAAAAAAAAAAAAAAGACCCATGGAAAGAAAAGGATGAATTACAGCTGCATGGTGAAAGGATAAGGCAACTTTTCTATTCCCAATATAGTTACTGGCCCAGTAATGGGCCCCATCTCCTTGTGCTGAGGTCCATATACCTGAATTTCTCAGCTCCTCAGCGCTGTACTGATAAAGGAGGTCATATCTGCCTCCCAGTGACCCAGAGGAGTAGTAATGTGTGCCAAAATCGTCAAATATCCGGCTGTAAAGGGGATAGTTATACTCCAGGGGCAAGCTATTAAGCGCCTCTAAGAACACCTTAGATGGCTGCAGGTCTGATTCCTTCATGGTGAAGTTGGATACCGCTATGACTTTATGGATCCTAATAAATTTGGACTCCTAAAAATGAAGAAGAGAAAACATGGATGTGATTCTGATTAAAATGTTTTTTCCTAGATCCATAATATGCAATGATTGGTAATGATTATGGTTTTATCGAACCAAAATTAGAACCTCTTTATCACCTGTTACAGCCAACCAAATGAACAGCTCCATCCATATTTTTAAAAATGAGTTTATTAATGAGAAACTTTAAGTCAGCAATTTGTATCTAGGTAGCACATAGTCCTCCTGGATCCATTTTTGTGGCCCTCTAAATACATGCACACATGCACACAAACATATGCACACTCTATGTCTGAAGAAATACAATATATTTCTTTTATTTGACCAATTAAGTTTTAAAACAGATACATTAGGATGTCACTGTGGGCTATCATGTTTTAAGCTATCCTGAAACTCCCCAATAAATAAAACAAAACAAAAATATGTGTACATATTAGCTGTGCTTCTGCCTGTGACATCATTGCTATACGACTTGAAGCCTTTCCGTATGAAATAAAATAAATAAATAAAATGGCACTCCAAGCTAGAGAAAAATTACCTTTTAAATTCTCTGCTTCATTTAATGATAGAGTTTAATATTTTTTAATCCTAAAGTTTTAAATAATATTGGTACATGGACATTCAGTCCTCCCGTATAACTCGTGTAGGGTTTTATTAACACTTAATTCAATTTACAATTCTTGGCCACACTTCTCCATGAAATATGGATGCTATTATTGTTGTTAATAATCTCTGCAGTAATAAAAGCAGTTCTTATAACTGAAAACGGTATTAAAAATCATGCTCCTATTTGCCTTCCTTGGAAAAAGGGATATAGACTTTGAACAGAAGAAATGCCATTAAGCAGATTTGTTCAAAATAAACATTCTGGAAAGTAATATGCATATGCTTTTAGTTTTAGCTACTGAGGATTCATATTGTATTCTGCACATACATAAATACTAAGACAAAGGCAGAAATGCTGAAGCATGTGTAGCATCGATAGACTTTATTGGAAGGAAGGTGAAAATGATAACCAAAAGATTCTATCAAGTCCCTTGCTTTCAAATGAGGCATCTGAATACAGGTAGTCCTCAACTTACATGCGCAATTAAGCAAGACATTTATTAAGTAGATTTTGCCCCATTTTACGATCTTTCTTACCATAGTTGTTAAGTGAAGCCCCCTGAGATAATAATACAGGTAGACCAGTGGTGGGATTCAAATATTGTTGCCACCGGTTCGGTGGGCGTGGCTTGGTGGGTGCACTTTGCGTGCGTGCGTACACACACTTTGCGTGTACGTGTGTGCCAAACATGCACTTTGCTCAGGGGCATTTGCACAGGCGCAGAGGCATTCTAACTTGCCTCCTGCAAGCCTGCACTCTCCTGGTCGCTTCAGCAGCTGCCACGCAGCACTATTCTGTGCCGTGCAAAGCAGCTGCGCTTCAAATTCAGCAGATAAAAGTGAGTATGGGAGCCCTGGTGGGAGGGCGGGCTCGACAGCAGAGCAGTGGAGAGAACCAGTTTGGTCTCCGCTGCTCATTGCTCCTACCAGCTCGCCAGAACCTGGCAGAACCAGTCGAATACCACCACTGAGGTAGACCTCAACTTACAACTACAATTGAGACCAAATATTTCTGTTGTTAAGCAAGACAGTTGTTATGTGAGTTTTCCTCCATTTTATGACCTTTCTAGCCACCGTTGTTAAGTGAATCACTGCAGTTGTTAAGTTAGTGACACGGTTGCTAAGTGAATCTGGCTTCCCCCTTGACTTTGCTTGTCAAAAGGTCACACAAGGTGATCATATAACTCCAGGACACTGCAACCGTCATAAATATGAATCAGTTGCCAAGCATCCGTATTTTAATCATATGACCATGGGGGGATGCTGCAACTGCCATAACTGTGAAGCCAGATTCACTTAACAACCATGTTACTAACTTAATAACAACTGTGGTAGGTCATAAAATGGGGGAAAATTCCTTTAAAAATTGTCTTGCTTAGCCAAAGAAATTTTGGGCTCAGTTGTGGTCGTGAGTTGAGGACTACCTGTGTACTGGTGCCTCATTTGAAAGTTGTAAGTCAGGGACTATCTGTATCTTGCTTCACCAAAGGCACGACTCGTCATTTGGATAAGTTCTTCTTGGATAAGCTTTTTACTGCACTTTTCAAACAAATACATGGGGCAGTCACTTCTGGCCACACATCTACCTACTCATATCCCGATTGCAGGGTAGTGGTGCAGTGGTGGGGTTCAAATTATTTTACTACTGGTTCTGTGGGTGTGGCAGGGGAAGGATACTGTAAAATCTCCAGTCAGAGGTGGTATTTGCCAGTTCTCTGAACTACTCAAAATTTCTGCTACTAGTTCTCCAGAACTGGTCAAAACCTGCTGAATACCGCCTCTGATGTCTACCTACCTCTGACCCCACTCTCAAGTCAGGAAATAGAATGGCCCACAATGTATGTAATCTACATCTGGAGCACTGGTGGGATTCAAAAAAATTTACTACCGGTTCTGTGGGCGTGACATGGTGGGCGTGGCAGGGGAAGGATCCTGTAAAATCTCCAGTCAGAGGTGGGATTTGCCGGTTCTCCAAACTACTCAAAATTTCCGCTACCAGAACTAGTCAGAACCTGCTTAATACCACCTCTGCAGTGGTGCTTTCAAAAAGCATGCAACTTTAAATTTTACGAGTGCTATATTTTCCCACTAAAATGTCTGTCAGGGGCATCCCACTGGCGCCCCGCGAGATGGATGTGTCATGCACAGGCCATGCCCACCTCGGCTCCATGAAGGCAAAAACATCGTGATATGTCACGTGACATCAACACGACTCAGCAAATTTGACACCCGTGCTATAAGATGATCAGATGATCTAGTGCAGTGGCCCCCAACCTTTTTTGAACCAGGGACCGGTTTCACAATTATTTATTCTTCCACGGACCGGTACCTGAGTAACGCGAGACTCCACCGCCATCGGGATGGCTCTTCATTCAAAGCCGCCGCCCCCTCTTCGACGAAACTAAGGCGCGAGCACCCAAACGCCACTTTCCAACTGAAAACCCGGAAGCACTTTCCAACCAAAAACCCGGAAGCAACCAAAAACCCGGAAGCAACCGAAAACCCGGAAGCAACCGAAAACCCGGAAGCAACCGAAAACCCGGAAGCGCCATCGAAACAAGATGGCGGTGCCCAAGCTTTGTGGCCCAGTAAAAAATGATCCACGGACCGGTCCTGGTCCGGAGACCGGTGGTTGGGGACCCCTGATCTAGTGGGCATTGGTAATCACTATATACAAAAGGAGATCTGTCTTATTTGGCTACAATTCTAAAGATGTCCTGCATTTGAGAAGCCAGATGTCACCCACAGAAAATATTCTCATTTTGAAATATTTTAAATTCATTTTTAAAACAGAAATCAATAGCCTGGATAAGAAAAATAATGGTTCTCTTCCCCCACGTTGCCAAGCGAACTGAATAGCCTTTTCATGCAATTTAAAAACAATCGACTTTGACATTTCGGGCATGCAATAACATTTGCTACTCACGCCCAACGCAGCAGGAAATTCAATACAGAAATGTTCTCTGTGTGAACAGGCTAATGAACAACTGACTTTTCCTGGTCTCTCACTTATCAGCTTCTGCAAATGGAGTTGAAAGCTAGAATGCAAACAGCCATACCTTTTTCTTTGAAGCTTGTATTGCTTCCTTGAAGGAGGAAGAGGATGTGACATGAACTTTGGTCTTCTTGGAGAACAGGAATGGGATCCCAGATCGCCTTTTGCCAGAGCCAGAGAAAGAACTACTGTGAGAAGTATGGCTTTCAAAGGGGATTAAGTCATTGTAATATTCCGAAACCACATCATCTTCTTCATTCACTACCTACAGAGAGATATAGTTACAGAAAGCTGGTTTGACAAAGGACTGAATCTTACTTCTTTAAAGGGCAATACTAGTCTCCATAGCTGGAATTTCTAATTCATACAACTGTGTGTGTTTTTTTAAGTGTCTTTTGTGGAGAAATTTAGCTTTGGTCTTAAGGAAGAGGTGAGAAATGTGGAATGTTAGAACACAGAATTACAGAGTTGGAAGGGACCTTGGAGGTCACTTAGTCTAACCCTTTGCTCAAGCAGGAAACCCTAAACCATTTCAGACAAATGGCTGTTCATTTTCTTCTTGAAAGCCTCCATTGATGGGGCACCCTCAGCATCTGAAGGCAAGCCATTCAGATGTGGAAAGTTGCTCAACTCTGAAAAAGTATGAAGTGTGGGGAGACACAGAACAGTTCCACCTTGACCTTGTTGTCCTTGAGGAGAGCAGTGATGGTTTTTGACAGACCATAACAATAAATTAGCAGTAAATATAAACGTCAGTTTCTTGATCTGGCCTACTTCAAAGAGCTGACCCTTTTCATTACCTGCTTGCCTGCACACCACTCAAACTGAGGCCGAACCTGGCATGATTATAATCTCCTTTCTCTAGTTCCATTTTTTCTCCCTCCTTGTGGACAACCCATTCCGTTTTTTACTTTTCATTCTGTTTCCCAGAGGCTGTCAGTACAAGGGCAAAACTCTCTTGCTGAATGTCCCTCACCCAGGATTTTTGAAAGTAGGCTGAGCCACACAAAATAAGATGGAGAGCTTCCATCCTAAGGT